GTTGCCCATTTAATTTTGAAATAGAACAAGATCCATTAGTCCAAGACCAACACATTTTCTAAACGAACACAAGCCGCCACAGCAAGTATAAGAATCAGATTTCAAATTGCACAGTGAAAAAGCACGTAGAAAAACGGAAAGAGAATTATTGAAATGGAGAAGAAGGAAAGTTTGAAGCTTGTTGTTAAACTCACCATAGCTACTTGTCTAACAGTAGCCATTTCCATATTCATAGCAAAAAGCTACCACAAAGTTCGAAAACACAACAGGAAGAAGCAACAAAAGAAGCATTCATGTTATCTTAATGCTGAAATCAGACCTCAATCTCATTTCAAACGAGTTATTGCTGATAACTCTTATTCTCAATTCAAACACCTCAAGCTCGACAACAGCAATGGTAAAATGCAATGTACTCTATTTATTTTTAATTTGTGTTTTTTGAAACCCTAGCTGAATTATTGTGAATGTGTGTGACAGAGGATTTTACAAATTTGCATCCGTATAAGGAGGAGATTGCGGAGTTGATGAAGAGTTCTAATGTTGAATTTTTGGAACATTTTGGTGGAAATTTTGAGGATTTTACAATGCGTGAATCGTATGTGTGGGTTGAGAGTGAGTCTCAATTGATGGAGCTTGCGGAGGTGTTGAGTAAAGAGAGAGTGTTTGCAGTTGATACAGAGCAGCATAGTTTGAGATCATTTTTAGGCTTCACAGCTCTAATTCAGGTTTATTCTTCTCTTGATTAATCATGTGCTTCCCATTGTTAACGAGTCTGCTCAAAGTTTCATAAAATGTACTCGATGGAAATCAAAGTTTTCTTTTTTCTGTGATTCGTGTCATTGATGGATGCGTTTACATTGTTGTTAAACTTTAATCTTTCACAATTGTAATGAACCACCACTTCCGTGCCTCAGTCCATGCTCCCTTCTCATGTTACCATAAGTTATCTACATCCCAAACACTTTAAAATGGATTTCTGACGAAAAACAATTTATATCATCTCAATGTACTTTTTGCATGTTCTGAGCAGATATCAACTGAAAGCGAAGATTATCTTGTGGATACAATAGCTCTGCATGATGTTATGGCAATTCTTCGTCCTGTATTTGCCAATCCAGAAATTTGCAAGGTGACCTTGTTAATTTATGTGCTGATTAATTGTTATGTTTCTTATTTGATATATAAATTGCAAGCTGGTAACCCAGCAGTAGAAGGGTACTCCATTTCACAACCCACACTTGTGGTGGATAGTGCTTATCAGAATAGCTAATCTTTTGCTTCGTCTTAATACTCCCTCCGTCCATTTTTGACTTGACACACTCCTTAAGAAACACTAAATAAAATGGTAATTTTACTATATCACCCCTAATTATTTTAAGCAAGAGCAAATCTAGGATTTCTAGGACATTGATGCACCACTAAAACAAGAAGAAAAAAATCTATTAAGTGGGAATTGAACCTTAGTCCTTTAGGTAAATAACTCAACATCAACTAAGTGCACCATTTAGCCTTGTTATACCATGGCCGCGATAGATATCATTTTACCAATTTTCAAAAATATATACATAAAATGTCTAGTTTTACGGAGAGACATGTTAGAGTGGGTAAAATTCCACATTGGTTGAAGAATGGATTGGTGGTCTATTTATATGGACTTGGACAATCCGCCCCTCATGAGCTAGCTTTTTTGGGGTTGAGTTAGGCTCAGGTCCGATATCTTTACATGATATCAGTGGGTAAAAGTCCCACATTGGTTTGGGGATGGACTAATGGTCTTCTATATGAACTTGGACAATCCTCCCTTCATGAGCTAGCTTTTAGGGTTTAGTTAGGCCCAGGTGCCATATCTTACAAGACCATGGGTTCACGTGCCCCATTTTTAGTATATAAATTCGCCACTAATTCTAAGTCTATCTCACTCATTGGGAAATGAATTGGAAGTAATTAAGTACTTAATGGTAAGGGTAAAATAGGTATAAAGTAGTAAAATATCTCTTGGTTTTTCAAACTGTCCAACTTAAAGTGGACGGAGCTAGTAGTTCTCAAGTTACTCATCAAAAGGTGTTATTTTCCCTGTTATAGGTATTCCATGGTGCAGATAACGACGTTCTTTGGCTTCAACGGGATTTCCACATATATGTTGTTAATTTATTTGACACTGCAAAGGTAAGGTGTCAAGTTACTGTATATTCTTTTGTGTAATGAAGTGAAGATTTTAACTGAAGATGCCTAGTGTGTTTTCCTTGTGTATGATTTACAATGATGTTTCTTATTTAGTTTTAAGCCGCTGTTGTTTTGTTATATTCCAGGCTTGTGATGTGTTGTCTAAACCACAAAGGTCTTTGGCATATTTGCTGGACACGTACTGTGGCATTGTCACGAATAAACTATTACAGGTATACAAAGAAGCTTGCTGGATACATCATCTTCTTTTACATACACTCCTAATTCCTCCATGGGTTGCTGTTGCCATCTTTACTGTTGATGAGTTGTGATGGATGGATTTTTTTAATCTATATATTTTTTTAATTGTCAGTGTCATATGTTTGGTGGATTTGGATTCTGAGTGGAACTTAGGAACGTAATAGATTTTCATAGAATTGTGGAAAGGAATATGATAATGCTGTGTGAGTCCTAGATTGTATTTTTTTTTTTTGAAACGGGTAACTTGTATTCCTCAGCATTAAGTGCTATGCTGGCCACCTCCATAAAGTATTAACAGAGAAGAGAAAAAAAGAAGAAAAAAGAAACAGAAATACTTACAAAGAACCTACGAAATCAACTAATTGGATTTCCTCTTCTATATTTTGTTCTTTACACCAAAAAACCTAAGGAAGTAGTTACATTCCATATAATCTTCTGTATTGAGCATTCTTTTCCTTCAAAAATCCTCTGATTCCTTTCCTTCCAAATATTCCACCAGATACAAGCAGATACTGTCCTCCACCACTTCTTTTGACTCTTGCTGCCCCCCCTTCTGATCCAACAACTCAATAAATCTGTTGTGTGTTCTGGCATACACCAGTTTAGGCTAGCTAAATTGAAGAATAAAGCCCATACTTGTGTT